GAAGGTACCTATATACAATTCTTTTGAATTCCTTATCAGGGAGTTCCAGTACTGTGTCTTTCTCAGGGATGTGTTTTGGGTCTGTATCTTTGTTCCTTATTTCCCTGCTTTATCTTGTTTTTTTTTGTGTGGACGTGATGCTCTGTTGTCTCCAAGGCATTGCGACATTTTTGTATTTATATTTAATTGGTGATTGTATGTTGGAGTGACTTGTTCACAATATTTGTTTTGTTTTCTTTGTAAGTTATCTATGTAAGCAGGGTACTGTGCTGTGCTCCTCTATTCATTAGTTGGCAGCACTTAACACACTCACCACCTGTCTCCTTTCCTGTTGTCAGCCTCTCGTATGTCCCTGCTGTCCTTGATAAACAGAGCCTATTCTTGTTGTTGTTGTTATGTGCTGTCGAGACAGACCTGACTCATAGTGATCCCTCCTTGGGTTTCTGAGGCAGTATCACTACGGAAGTAGATTGTCCAACCTTCTTTCCAAGGAGTGGGTGGTGGGTTTGAACCGCCAGCCTTCTGGTTAGCAGTCAAGTGCCTTAGGTACTACGCTACCAGAGTTCCTATTCTTAGGGCTATTCTTAGGCCCCTGGAATCCGCATGAGAATGCTGTCACTTTAAAATCCAAAATGGCTACCACTTGTAAAGATTCAAAATGGCTGTGCCCTCCATTACTTTAAATACCCAAAATAGTTGCCACTTTTAAAGATTCAAAATGGCTGTGCCCTCGGTCACTTTTTATATCCAAAATGGCTGCCGTTTGTAAACATGCAAAATGACTGCACCCTCGGTCACTTTAAATATCCAAAATGGCTGTCGCATGTAACAATCAAAATGACTGCGCCCTCTGGACAGCAGAAAGTCTGCAGCTCAGGTTGTCTCCCTCCTTGCTGTTTCCCTTCCCAGTCATAGGCCACCAATACAGTTGTCTTTGCATCCCTTGGTTCTCAGGGCTGATCTTTAGGTCAATTCTCAGGTCCCAACACCATTTGGAAATATTCTGGCTGTTGGTCCCGTCAGAGTAGCTGACAGTCTGTAGCTCTGACCATCTCAGTACTCACTGTTTTCGTTCAGGCTTTTCCACTAGTTGGTGTCTAATCCGCTTCTGTATAGTTCCTTTCAAAGCTCAGGGCTCCAGAATTATCTTCTGTATCTTTGTCAATTGATTTCTGTTTTCTTTGTTGAAGAGGGTCTGCGTCACTTGTCTGCTTATTCCTCCATCTTTTTTTTTTTTTCCCTATAATTCCAAGATGTGTTGTGTGTTTTTTTTTTTTTTTTTAACTGTGATGTGGGTGAAAATTTACAGAGCAAATTCACTTTCCATACAGCAGCTCACATACACTTTGTCTCATGACATTGACCACAATTTACCACAATGCAACAACTCCCCTCCCACTTCCTCCTGATAGTTACCTCTTCCCTGTGTCCATCCCTCCATGCACTCCTGCCCCTCGAGCTGTCTCCCTGTGCATAAGCAGCCCCTCTTTCTCCCATGATTGTTCTCTCAAAGGAGTGTATCCACCACCTCAGGTAAATGTTCAACTCATATGCCTGTCCTTTGCTTGGCTGGAAGTCACAGGTGTGTGTTCAGTTTCAGGCCTGAAGGGCAGCTAGGAGCCATAGTCTCAGTGGTTCCACCAGGCTCTATCGGACCAGCAAATCTGGTCTCCGCACCCCCCCTTTTTTTTCCGCCAAATGATTTTGAGTTTTGTTCCACATTGTTCTCCCTTTCTAGCCAGGATCTCCTACATAGATCCCCTTCCAAGTGGTTGACAGTGATAGTTGAGCACCATCTAGTTCTTCTGGTCTCATAGTTGTACAGGCTTCAGATCATATGGTGTACCAGTCTCTAGGACTAATTGTTTTCATGAATTTTTGGTTTTCTTCATTCTTCTTTGCTCTGGATGAAGAGAGACCCATTGTTGCATATAGATGGCAGCTTGTAAGTTTTAAAGATCCCAGTTGCTACTCACCAAAGTAGGAGGTGGAACAATATTTTTGTAGTATGTTATGCCAATTGAGCTTGATGTCCCTTGCGACTATGGTCCTGAGCCCACAGGTTCAATTACTTGGTCCCTCTGGGTAGCTGGCTGTGATCAAGCAGTGACTACAACCTTGTCCCTTGTCAGCTCTACTATACACCTGGGACTTCAGATGATACACATAGACTTATAGGACCATTGTCTGCCTACCCTATACATGTTCTTGGGTACACTCCCTGCTTCATAGACATACCTGCTAGTTCAGCCTGTCCACCCATGTATCCACCCATATACCCATGTTTGCCTTCACTGACAATGCAATACTGTATGTGCAAAAGGGTTCATCTTTGTTGTCTGTACCTCCCATGTACCTCTCTATGTCTTTTTCTTCCTCAGTGCCACCATATTGGTCACTCATATTTGGTACATTGCCCTTCTCTTCACCCAAATCAATACTTATCTTTATCTATCTAACAATGTTCCCTTCCCTCCCCTCCCACCCCTGGTAACCAACAAAGAAAATTTCCTTTCATAGGTAAACCTTTCCTTGACTTTTACAATAATGGACTAATACAATATTTGTCCTTTAGCGATTGACTTGTTTCACTCAGCATAATGTCCTCCAAGGTCATCCACGTTATGTGGTGGTTTGCAGATTCTACATTATTCTTTAGGGTTGCATAGTATTCCATTGTATATTTGTACCATCGTTTGGTTATCCATTCCTCCATTGATGGACACCTAGGTTGTTTCCATCTTTTGGCTATTGTAAATAGTGTTGTGAAGAACATGGGTGTGCATATGTCTATTCTTGCCCTGGCTCTCACTTCTTTAGGTTATATACCTAGTAATGGAATGGCTAGGTCAAATGGTTTTTCTAATTCCAACTTTTGAAGGAATCGCCATACTGCTTTCCACAGTGGTTGTATCATTTTACAGTCCCACCAGCAGTGTATGAGAGTCCCAATC